ACCTTCACTTTTACCCAATCACAAACATGTGTCGATTTTCATTACGCTTTGCTTTGTAACCACTACACGAAAGACTAAAGGCTAATTTAAAAAACAACGCCCATATCTACCCTTTACTCCTTCTATCCTGTTTTGCTACCTTATTTGTTATATTTTATTGTATTTATATACTGTTGTACAGTTTATAATTAATAACGAAAATTTACTCAAATTTCACCAAGCCCATTTAAGTATTCTCCAATTTCATTCTTGAAAATTTTACAATCATTATATGTTTATTTGAAATTGAGATAAAAAATATCCAATCCGGCAACAGTGGGTACTTTTTTTAATGGGTCACAATGAAATGGTAACTCCGCCTACACGAACGGTATACACTGGCGGGGCAACAGTGAGGGATGATAGGTGAGATGAAAAGCAGGTCCAGTCAGCCCATCGTGATGAATAATGAATTCAGCACGATAGTTACCAGGGGGAACCACGTGGAGGTCGACCTGACAGGGTATATTGCTAGCAAAAAAGACTGGTAATCCGCATTACTAACAATCCTTTCCCCCCGCCACACTGGGCACTATGAACGTTCTATAGTACTATGACGTCCATATCCGCCCTGTGGTCCCGGCGTAGAACGGGCTACCACTTCCTTTCGCGTGGGTGTCGTAAGAGCCGATTAAAAGATTTTAAAGGTCGAGTGGTACGTAGCAGCATCCCTCTTAAAACGTCATTAAAGCCTAACTGCAGTTGCCAACCCGCTGCTAAGCACGACAACTACGGACAAAACCCTCCAAGGGGTAGGCTTATATTCAGCAGTGGACGTTAACGGCTAATAGAATGATAATGTTGTCCACAATAATGTTCATATCAATAAATTTTCCCGATATCCTGATACCAATTGTTTTTCCCAAGATCCGCAACATTTTCTGAGCCATAACAAGTTATCCACAAATAGAGTTATTAAATAAAATGATTGCTTATTTGTACTGTGATTTAATTCCAAAAATAATATTGACTCGGGGCGGTATGAAGTGATTGCGGTTAAACGAGGTACGGCTTGATCGATAATTGAATGGATTACCGCTGTCTATACCAAGAACACTTTCCCTTGCAAATCAAAACGTTCCGCCAAATAAACTTCATGTAAGATCCTTTTTGTAAGTACAGAATACGATATCATTTACATAGTACTAGTTGCGATACATGCCCATTATTTGGGTGTGTTAATTAAAAACAACGAATGTTGTCAAAATCTACGAGTACTCTTCATGTTGATCACAGTTACCAGTTAAGGTAAACATTATGATTTTTTTTATCCAACTTAGAATGGCAAATAAGCTAACGGCCCACCTGATGGAAAGTGGTAACCGTCGCCTATAGATATAAGCAGTACCATGAACATACCAAAGTATACTGTTTTGCCCATGATATCCCCCATACGTTGCTATTCCTGAGGACTCAGATGTATACCCCTGTACCTTATAAATTCACTGCCATATCGCATCGTTTAAACCGAAACCCAGCCATGCAAACAACTGCTTCACGGTAGAAACCCGAATGGAACACAGGTGCCCAAACAAATGACTTTTGTGCACAGTCTCCTTCTGGTAAAGAATTGTTATATTTTGTATAACTTGTTATCTCAAATATATTATAAATGTCAGAATGATGTGTTATTTTTTAACTTAATCTCACAATATACATTTCTCATTCAGTAAGTAGGAAATGGCTCATACGTTCAAAATTTGTAAGTAGCTACTACAATTAAATTAGTTTTTACACAACATTTCGATAACTTTTCATAACGTTTAATCACTGTTTTTAATTAATAAACGCTTATTTTTAATAACGTCGTGCTAATAGTTAATTGCTTCAAAATATTTAAAGGATTTATCTCGTCGTGATGACATCAAATACTGCCAGACCCTTGTCTCCAGCATGACGTTTGAAAAGTTAGTAATTTGTCGCTTAAGCCAGCTCCATAATAGCTAGTTATTATTCACTAGTGGAACCGAAGTAATGGGTAAAACTATCCGCCGAAAAACAAATTAAATATTTTAATTAAATTTTCGAATTCAATAAAAATTTCTTATAGACGTGAATTAATTGTAATATATTCGGAAAACGTATCTATAGGTAGAAATACTCTCGCTACCATATATATGAAAAAATATGAGATAGCAATATCCAATCTTGTTTTTACAAAAATGTTATTGGAGTAAATAAGAATGTACAAAGTTTGCGAATAAAATAGTGCTCATAAAATGCTCTTTTTGGTACTAAACAAAATTAAAGAAGGAATAATGATTAGTATGTTTGATCCAAACATATCTTTTTGATGATGAGGATATGACGCCATAGCCGGAATTGGTCAGCATTTTTTTTAATTATAAAATTACAAAATTACTTGCTATAATCGATATTATCATCATCATATCATCCACTAATTGTCCACTGCTGAACATAGGCCTCCCTCTATTGGGGGAGTTTTGTCAGTAGTTGCCACGCTTGGCAGGCAGATTGACAACGGCAGTTAGGCTTTGAAGATGATTTAAGAGACTCGCTTCTGCTTATCCCTCGCCTTGCCTTAATCGCCTCTTACGTCACCCACTAGAAAGGAAGAGGTGACCTGTTCTATTCCAGGACCACACGGAGGTATACGCGGAGGTATATAACTGATATACGCGGTAAGTTTAACCCAAAAACAAATCTCAAAATCAATCCAGTATAGTAATTTTGTTGCGCAATACTTCTAACAAAGCTTAATAATGAGCGTACCAAAAAAAAAACAGAAAATGCTTCGAGCGTTGGATTCGTGGAAAGTTACTGTGAGGGAAACATCTGTATTTATACAAAGCCAAAAAAGGATGTCGGCAAATTTGAAATATCCTCAATATCTATCTACTGCTCCACACACACGAAGCGATTGTCGTAACAATAGCCGGCATCGTTCGATTTTTATTGTACGACACGTATTAAAATATCGCATCCAATTTTCTATACGAAGATGGATCCTTACGATTAATATACCTATTTTGGAATAATCGAATCGATAAATCGCTCTGTGTACAGCGAATATAATGTTTTAGATTATTTTCCACAAAGTAAAATAGCTACTTGAATTGTGACAAATTAGTATAAAAGGAATACAAATATAAAAGTAATATAGCAACAAGAATTAACGAAGACATATCATAATTTATGGATGAAAAATTAAAATTTTCTGAAGTAATATTTCTATTCATAATTTATTATAAATAAATTCCATCGAATTTAAAAATTTATTCCTTTTTAAGTTCCTTAAAAACCTGTACAATTAATTGTACAACAATTCATTAGAATCGATTGTAGATTATTTAATAAGATTTATTTTCATTTGAAACTTTTGGATTATTGACTCATATTTTAAATACGCTATCGGGACCTAACGCAAAGCAATTGCAGTAGAAATAGTGTTTTCCTATTAGCCATGGGTAATATGTGCCGATTTGATATCTATTAATTGGGTTTCTCTGGACATTGATGGTGTGAAAAAGTCAATATGTTAAACGTCTGTTATCCAATTTTTTTTAATAACTAACTTTTAACGTATTTGTTATTGGATAAATATATAAATATTGTAACTAAAATATATAGTAATTGCTACATATTGCCCACCTCTACTATATACATATCTGATTTTTATTCACAAAATATTATTGTGTATATACCATATTTTGTATTTAATTTTTGTTCCTTATCATGATGGCAGTTAGTAATGTATTTTTGATGTTTGTTTCTTAGGAGGGGGGCCTGGTGACCTAAGACACAGGCAGCTCGCTGCCCAGTTTCGACGCCAGTCTCCCAAAACTGTGTGTAGCTTTATATTATTGTAGCCAATTAATGTATAATACGGTTATAGTGGAATAATAAAAAAAAAAAAATATTATTATTGCCAACGTTCGACGTGGATTGCACCACGTGGTGCGTCACGATAAGTCCTGATTGCGTAATTACAATCAATTTAGTTTGTTTAATACTAATTTTTCTAACATTCGTATATGTCCTAGTTCTAAAATTACACCTACATCAATTAGATAGTGATATGTACTTATACAAAATAACACCTAAATGAGGTGACATATTAAATGTGAAATAAATATTTTTGGAACGTTTAAAATTCACAATTATAATATATGCATTGGCATATACGTAATAGGTCATCCATATATGAAAGCTTAATTGATGAAACGGTCATAATATATTATATTTCAAATGAAATCAATTCCAAATGAAAAACTCACCATAGTGTTAATTTACCTACTGAATACGGTATATTACTACTGTGGTCTCTAAAAATTCTTTAACATAATATTAACAAGTATATGTTTAAAAAAAGTTCATGCTCACTTCACGAATTCATTAAAAAAGTAGTAGCTAGTGCGTTTTTCAAGGTACTTTCTTCCACGCACAACCATTCTTTGGAATCAACTTCCAGCAGCAGTATTACCGAACCGATACAACAACATAACCTTCAAGAAAAGAGTATATTCCTTTTTAAAAGGCCGGCAGCACATCTGCAATGCCGCTGGTGTTGTGGGTGATCATGGGCGGCGGTAGTCACTTACCATCAGGTGAGCCGCATGCTCGTTTGCCCCCTGTGTTGTAAAAAAAAAATAGTCATAATATATTTAAATATTTATCTATACTTAATATATTATTATTTATTGTATATAAGTACACAATATTAATTGTAATTATCTTTACCTTTTTTTTATTTTTTTGCAACTTAGAATGATAAACAAGCTGACTTCTTCCTTACCCATGGGTGTCGTAAAGGGCTACTAAGGGAACTTAATGCTTGAGGGATGACCAGAATCGTTTCTCTTAAAACGTCACCAAAAGTCTAACACCGGTTACAAACCTGTCTACCAAGAGTGACAACTTCTGGCAAAACGCCCCTTGTGGGAGAGGCCTATGTTCAGCAGGTGTAGATAATTAACAGCTGATATAATGATGATTGTGGAGTACAGGCCACATATATTATTTATAGCTATATTATTATTTACCAAATTCGAAATTGACACGCATATCTATTGTTTTCCTTTTGGCTTCCCTTTACGGCCCTAGTCTTCTAAGTTCCTTTGACTATTATATACATATTTCCAATTTCCATTCCTGGTTTCCTTTGTCGCCCACATATTTTGGTCCTTCTCGGTTTGAATTCAGCACCAGTTTCCTCATTTATCAAATTTATTATTTTTCACAAAATTATGATCACAAGATCGAAGGCGGCGATGAGGGAAACCCAGGCCGAAGGTCAACAGTTTCATCTAGGTAGTGTTATAAATAGTGAAAATGTTCGGTCACGACATTCCGCGGAGTCGGTGCGGGAAGCGCTATCAGTTCCGTTACCGCCCGATCCAGATTTTGACCCGTCGGAATCGTTCTATCATCAGCAAGAGGTTGGCTCATTGAATAATGCAGCGCTTGTATCGCCGTCGAGGGGTAGGCTGTCAGGAGCACAGCAGTTACCTGGCTAGGAGTGCGGTCAAGGATGCTTTTCGAGGAGTCCGGTTAGTGAGCATCGTAACGACGATACGCGTCACGTATTTCCACCGGGACCAACTGTGCAGGTGAGTGAACTATCGTTTGGCAGATGCTATTTTCACCTTAGCTAAGAAATCTGCTAGACCTTCATTTGATGACCTTGCCACCTTCAGTGGTAACGTTCATGAGTGGTTATTGTTCAAAAAGAGTTACGACGATAGCAAATCCTATTTTACACCTCACGAAAATATGTCTAGGCTACGCAATGCGTTACGTGGTAATGCTCGAGAGGCAGTCTCGGTGTTATTACTTACCTCTTCATGTCCAGAGGATGTACTGCAAGCTCTTGAACTACGTTTTGCTCGACCTGAGCAAATTATTTTGTCGGAGATATCCGCAGTTCGAGCCCTACCTAAGTTGGGTAGACAGCCTAATGATATTTTCACTTTAGCCACAAAAGTAAAAAGCAGTGTAAATATAATAAATTTATTAGGTCATAGAGAATACATTTATTCATCTGAATTATTACACAACGTTATTTCTAAATTAACACCTTTATTATATGACAAATGGTGTGACTTCGCTCAGGCACACCATACACCCGGTCAACCACAGCTCGAGTTGCTCGCTGAATTTTTATTGCAGGAGGCCAACAAACAAGCACGTTTTGGGCTGCCATATGAGGCGGTGTATGTCCCATCTCATACAGAGAGGACGAGGGCAGCGGCCACGTCTGCGGCGCCGCGCACCGATTGTACGCAGGCTGCATATCGCTTCGCGCCTTCAAGACATACAGTGCATACTGCCAATGCATCTGTGCCACTTCAAATAAAATCGCCTATATCCTGTGCATTTTGTTCTGGTCCACATAGTATAAAGACCTGTTTCAAATTCTTAGCTCTTGCAGTTGACGAACGTCTCACTTGGGTGAAACAAGAGAAACTTTGTCCGAGGTGTTTAAAGAGAGGTAAGCATAGTTGGAGATTTTGTAAAGCTCGACAATGTGATATTTGTAAACAAAATCATCACAAATTTTTACATTCGGAAAATAATTCAAATATCTCTAATTTACATAATACAAATATTGACACTGTCACTTGTCAAAACGAAAATATAAATTCTTCTTCGGATAATAAATTAGTTCCGAGTACGAGTACTAGCAATGCAGTTTCTTTTTCAAATAAGGAAGTGCAAAAAGATCGAATACTTTTAAAAATTTTACCTGTTATATTATCTGGTCCAACTGCCGATATCGAAACTTTTGCACTTTTAGACGATGGTTCTTCCGTTTCAATAATTGATGCCGACTTAGCGAAACAGTTAGGTCTTAGTGGACCTCAACAAAACATGAACATCACAACTGTTGTTGGTACTCGTAGTGTCACCACTAGTTTAGTAGATTTTAATATTAAGGGTAAGCATTGCTCTGAGGTTCATACTATTAATATGTACCTGATTTAACATTAGCGTCTCAATCGGTTTCTGCTAATGAGTTGTTACCTTTAGAACATTTGTGTGATCTTATTGACGTTCTTTCATACTCTAATGCGACTCCAAAGCTTCTTATAGGCTTGAGTGACTGGCATTTATTAATTGCCAAAGAGAATCGCGTAGGTACTCGTTCCCAACCTGTGGCCACTCGTACGGCCCTCGGGTGGGTGTTGTATGGATTAGCTTCAAAGATTACTAAACCGATTCAGTTCATTAATCATTGTGTGTTTTCTGAAACGGAAAATGATCTTGATACGTTGATTCGAGATTATTATAGATTAGACGCAATAGGTTTAAAACTATGTGAACCTTATACCGCTTCTGAGACAAGAGCGATTCAAATTCTGGATAAGACTATACAGCGTCTTCCGAATGGTGTTTTGAGGTAGGTTTACCATGGCGTTATGATTCACCAATTATGCCGAATAGTTATAATCATGCTTTGTCAAGATTGAATGGTTTAAATAAACGATTCAAGCGGGACCCTAATTATCAGTTATTGTATAAAGAAAACATCGAAGCTTATGTCAAAAAAGGATACGCTGAGGAGTGTAACGATTCTGATGATAATATATTTCGGTGTATATCGTTCACGATGCCAAATCCAACGGTATATTATTATTGCCAGGCCCAGACTTACTTCAATCTTTAGTAGGTATTCTCATTAGATTTAGGGACGGGCAGGTGGCGTTGTCAGGAGATATTAAATGAAGCGGATCGCGACTGTCAATATAGATAGTTTATCTCTTATTTTTGGTGCCGCGTCGTCTCCTTTCACTGCTATTTATGTTAAAAATAAGAATGCTAGGGATTTATTTCCTGATAAAGCTATTATTGAGGATCACTACATGGATGATTTTATTGGTAGTGTAGATGATATTGAGGTCGCTGCTCGTCTTGCTGGGGATATCGTAGATATTCACAGTAGATGCGGTTTCGAAATGCGTGCCTGGATATCAAACAAACCGGAAGCTTTGCGTTTAGTTCCTAGTGTGTTACGTAAAGATGGTGAAACTAGTGTGAACCTTGACATAAACAAAGCAACTACCCGTGTTTTAGGCTTGTTTTGGAACCCTGTAAATGATTCAATAAGTTTTAATGTCAATGTTCAACAGCCTCATAATCATTACTACACTAAACGCCAAGTTTTAAAGGATTTAATGAGAATTTTTGATCCATTAGGTTTTTTATGTCCATTTATCACACAGGGCAAGATTTTATTCCAACGAACATGGCGATTAGTTACAGGTTGGGATGACCAATTGCCCCAGAGTGAATGTGTCAATGGTATCGTGGTTTTGAAATGTTAAAGTCACTATCAATTCCACGGTGTTATTATTTTATAGTTATATATAGTTGCACGTGTTTTCAAACGCCAGTGATCAAGCTTATGCATGCGTTGCTTACTGGCGACTTACGTATTGTGATGGTTCGGTAAAAGTCGCGTTTATTATGAGTAAATCGCGAGTCAGTTCTCTTGAACCAACAGCTATAGCTAGGCTGGAACTTCAGGCAGCTTTGCTAGGGGTACGCCTTGCAGACACAATCACTCGGGAGCAGAGACAAAAAATCAATTTCCGTTATTTTGGTGTGATTCGCGCGTAGCTTTGTCGTGGATTCGAAGTGATGCACGTAACTATAAAGCATTCGTCGCGAATCGGGTCGGAGAGATTTCAGAATCAACCTTACCGCGCGAATGGCGTTGGGTACCGTCCGATCTTAATGTAGCAGATGACGCCACTCGCGTGAGTTCTAAAAGTGTGGTTGAACTTAACAGATGGTTGAACGGACCGTCCTTTTTGATGTCACCTGAAGAGGAATGGCCAGTAGAGCCCGAAGGGCCGGTCCCCGTTATTGGTCAGGACCTCAAGTGTCATCAAACTTCTTTGGTAGATTTTCGGCTTCATTTTAATGTTGTTCCAAATTCTAAAAACTTTAGTTATGCGGCTCTTACGAGCCACGGCCAGAGCTCATCAGTTTTTACGCTTACTTAAGGAAAGTAGATTAAAATCTGTAAATAATAATGATCGTTTTCGTAATAGGGGTGGGCTACGTCCGCTTCTCTGTAAAGACATGAAGTCTGCGGAGCTTCATTTATTGCGACAATGTCAAGCGGAGACATTTTCTGCTGAGATTGCGGCCTTACAACGTAGGGAACCACTACCTAAATTCAGTAAAATTGCAAAACTTTACTTCAGATGGCCTTCTTCGTCTAGATTATCTGCTACGCCTGATCTCTGTAATGATGTCAATATCCTCCGACTTTAGATGGTCGTCACCACATCATCCACTTACTTATTCATTACTATCACGTTTGGGCTTGTCACGGATATAACGAGATATGTGAATGAGTTGAGACAAAGGTTTTGGATTTTTTTACGTCCTACTGTTCGTTCAATCGCTGCTAGATGTCAAGCATGTCGTCTGAGAAAGGCTTCATCTTCCATTCCACCTGATGGAGATTTGCCGGTTTGCAGATTAGAACACCATCAGCACCCATTTTTAAACACCGGACTTGATTACTTTGGACCAGTTGACGTTACCATTGGAAGGAGACACGAAAAACGCTACATTGCGCTCTTTACCTGTCTTTCCATTAGAGCAGTTCATTTAGAGGTTGTTGGCAATTTGAGTGCGGATGCTGCTATAATGGCACTTAGACGTTTTATGGCACGCCGTGGAGTACCAAAGAAGATTTTTTCTGATAACGCCAAAGCATTTGTCGGTGCCAGTCGTGAAATAAGATCTATGTGGAGAACCATGAATCATACAGAAGTGGCAGAGTATGCCGTATCACGCGGCATAGAATGGAATTTTATCCCACCGCAGTCGCCTTTCATGGGTGGATGTTGGGAGAGGCTGGTTCAATCGGTCAAGAGAGCGTTGACAGCTACGGTCAAGAGCAAATCATTTAAGGAAGAAATTCTCGTCACTCTTTTGGCCGAGGTAGAACACGTTATAAATTCACGGCCATTAATCCATGTTCCAGTTGCAGCTGATGATGAACCTGCACTTACTCCAAACCATTTTCCTTGGTCGCTCCTCTGGATTGCCTGGACCCGTGTCTTTGAACGATAGAGATTTATTAGGAAGATCGCACTGGCGTAAAGCCCTAAGATTAGCAGATCACTTTTGGTCTAGATGGCTCAAAGAATATGTGCCCAGTTTGACACCACGCAGAAGCCAGAACTCTCAGCTACGATATTCCAATTTGTCAGTAGATGACATAGTCTTGATTGCTGACGCGAATATGCCACGGGGACTTTGGCCTAAAGGCCGTATAACTAGAGTGTTTCCTGGTCATGATGGAATAGTGCGTGTGGCGGACGTAGCCACAACTGGAGGAGTTCTTAGGCGTCCCTCGCGTAAACTTATCAAGCTGAGCACTGTGTAAATAGTTTTTTTATTTAATATTTTTTGATATTTGTCTGTTATGCGTGTATGCCTGTTCTCCACGAACATTTGTTAGTACCGAGCCTAACGGGGTGGGCAATATGTGGAGTACAGGCCATATATATTATTTATAGCTATATTATTATTTACCAAATTCGAAATGACACGCATATCTATTGTTTTCCTTTTGGCTTCCCTTTACGGCCCTAGTCTTCTAAGTTCCTTTGACTATTATATACATATTTCCAATTTCCATTCCTGGTTTCCTTTGTCGCCCACAATGATATACATATATATATATATATATTTATATATATATATATATATAAATATAAACAAACATATACATACTTAATAGCACTTATAAAAGTTTTTTTTTTATATTATTCTAGCTTTTATCCACGACTTCGTCCGTTTAACCATGATATATTCACAATACAATGAATATCTTACCCTCTACATTACAAGATTATTTTAGAAAATCACAGTATATTCTGTATCAGTCAATATGTCCATGTTATCTGGTGAATTCTTTTATGGATGTTGTGTAGGTCATAGTGGATTCTGTTATGCCTGTACCATAAAAATAATAAGAATTAAGTCTATATTTACGACATTTTCTATAAGTTATATTCCATCAAGTGGACTATCACTTATTACACAAATGAAGTCGCGAGTAAAAAGTGTTTCTATCATAAATGAAGTCGCATTCTTCTTTTTTTAAAATATATTCATTAATGTTTATGTGTAATAAACAATTAATGTAAGTTTGTAAATCCCACATGTCGGTACTTGTATAGAACGTAATTAAATCAAATTAGGAACACTCTAGGAAAAGAACTCAAAATCACATTACGCGTGTTCAAATAAAGTCGCAAAACCAAAGTAAAAATTCCATAGATCTCGTGTTCGCGTAATTGCGTTCAATATTGCCAATTTAGTGCTCCCGATGAAAATAAATGGATTCTAAAATGCCTTCGTGCCTGAACGTGACAATAACATGATGTTGTCACTTGCCAGATCAGTAGTGGTATTATTATCTGCGGAATATACCTACAATCTGTTTCAATGAAATCTAATAAAAAAATGTAACCAAGTTTTATTGAAATTATCATAAAAATATTTTCTAAAAGAAATAAAAAAAAAAAATCGAATCGTTCAATTGA